ATTGTAGACAGGGGTTTCTTCATTGATGACATTGTGCCCTGCAAAGTGTACAGGACAGCTTTCCTTTCTGGCAAACCTCAAATGTCTGCATGTGAAGTTATGGAAACAGAAGCCATAACATCTCTGAGTGCATGTGGAGCGCTCCATTCATTTGGTCCAAGAACACAAGCTTTTTGATTGGTTATTCCCCTCCTTGCATTGTAAACAATCAGCTATATGCTGTGTTTTTCTCCTTACCAACTTAAAATAGCCACTAGTGAAGGCCTGGGCAAAGAAGCCTGATGTCTGAGAACCTCAACATATGTTACGGCACCACACTGTATATTTACACACTTTCATAAGAAACTGCATATCAAGCTTTCATTCAGATGACCTTCAACAGTGCTGCAGCCCTGCTGAGGGACATCCGAGTAAAACCTTGAGATGGCCATTTTCTGTTCACTAACTTGCTTTAGTAAATCCTTACTTTTGTTAAATAAATCAGTTGTTGAACCCCCACTCCTCTGTTTGGTCTCCTTTCTTATTACAGCCCACCACTTCCAGTCTGGGTTGTAACAATCTGCAGACAGATTTCTGAGTATCTCCTCCTTTGGTACACAGATCCTCACTGAGCCATGTACTGTGAACAAATAGTTTCTCCATGATATTATACAGCAAGGTCCCGTTTTTGTCAAAACAAGGGTGAGGTAATGAAAAAATAGAAATATTTCATTAAATTAACATTTAAATTATTTATATGCATCATTAAAATAAAAAAAACATGTTTTGAAATATATAAAGTGCACCAAACTTGACTCAGTCCATTCAACAATTCTAAATGGACAATTATGTAACTCATCAATTAATTATTTGAAAGGATAATTTGTCAATTAAATACTGAAAAAATAAACAATTCATTAATGAGGCAAGAACTTCTCTCTCTCTCTCTCTCTCTCTCTCTCTCTCTCTCTCTCTCTCTCTCTCTCTCTCTCTCTCTCTCTCTCTCTCTCTCTCTCTCTCTCTCTCTCTCTCTCTCTCTCTCTCTCTCTCTCTCTCTCTCTCTCTCTCTCTCTCTCTCTCTCTCTCTCTCTCTCTCTCTCTCTCTCTCTCTCTCTCTCTCTCTGGAAGCCCCACTCTAAGGGAGTTTGCAGTGTATTAGTGAGTCATATATTGTACAACCACAGTCATAAAGTTTTCAATCAGTAGTTTTATTTCAGTATGTATTTTTCCAGTATCACAAAAAATGTAATTTTATATGGTTAAAACCATCTAGCTTATGTGCACTTTTTAAAACACTGCCCAGCAAACATTCGGACGTTTAATGACAGTTGAACGGTCACAACTGTAAAATACCTGAAATTAAGAAAAACTAACATGACATCTACTGCATTTTCCTTGCCCGGACTCGAACCTGGATCCTCCGGGGCGAGAGTCACCCGCTTTCCCAGCTGAGCTATGCCAGCAACTACTGAGTGTTGACTTTTTTATATAGATAGAGGATACAGTGCGGGGTAAACTAACCAATCAGAGGACAGAGAAGATCTGCCACAGGCCACGCCTCCAGAGTGCCAAAAGCCCTTACAGCCGAGCGAGCAGGAGTCAGAAACCGAGCGCGCAGAGAGGCTGCCGAGCGCGCACAGAGGCTGCCGCGCGCGCACGTTTTCCTCCGCCGTGTGCTCGTTGACAACGCGCGCACGCAAGTTTGTCACTTGTGCACATCCTTGTGCGCTCACAGACACAGTTTGCTCCCTCTAAGTGCACAAGTGACCTCTCGCCATGTATATTTCCGCTCGCGAGTCCCGTTCACACGCGCGCTGCCATGTATATTTGCGCTCGCGAGTCCCGTTCACACGCGCGCTGTGGACCCAATGCGCGTGCACGGGTTGTGGCACGCTTTAAACGCCATAGTTTCGATGCTGCGTTAGTGAGGTGAAATCACCGCAGCATAGTAGCAGTAGCAGAGCGCTTCAGGCACAAATAAGACAGAAAATAGAGAACATGTGCGGACATGAATGATCGTGTGTTACTTATAGTTTTTTGGTTGCACCACTTTGAGAATGGACCGTGTGCTGGATGCAGCAGCCTGGATTGCTGCGCAACAACGATCATCGCTCTGCCGCTCTCTGCTCAAAAGAGTCCATGAATGATGTAATAAAGGTAGAAAACTTTTTCCGGCTCCCCTGATGTGTAGGATATCCAGCTCCCCCATAATTCGATCTCTGCTCCTGGATGAAAAACCGGACATTTTCATCAATACAAGAACCCCCCCGACACCCCGGACAGAGAGTGAAAAGTGGACACGTACGGGGAAAAGAGGACGTACGGTCACCCTAGTTTAATATAAAGTTGGAGATTACAGATACATTATTTTGCTCGTGCCCTTGCTGCCCTGGGCCCTTTAGAGTTCGTGGACCCCTGGGCAATTGCCCAGTTGCTCATATGGTTAATCCGGCCTTGGGTGCTTGAAATTTGGACATTTTCTTTTCTCTTCCATTTTAATTCTGCAAAGAAATGACCCAGAAAGTCTTTTGCCAGTGTTTACTTTGACATCCTTGTGCAGCAATGACTGCTTAGTTGTGGTAACTCTTGGGAACTCTGCTTGGGCATACAATCCATCATTCACCCCTTGAATAACAGTATAACTCAGAACCCAACAACAAGTGATAACAGAATCTCTCTCAGGAAAAGACTCAAAGTGTGTTTTGCAGATGGGAAATGTTTTATATGCTGGAATGAAGTGATTTCCTTGCTCCAGGAAAAAGGTCTTAAATGTTTTGGTTGTGATCTTAGTGCAGCAAGTCTGACCTGCAGATTTATTTAGGCGGACCACAGAATCTCCTTGCAGATTGTAACATTTTCAGATTCCATGAATTTCACCTATTTTTGTTTTTTCACTAAAGTAAAGATGAAAATAAGTTTTGTTGTAGTTCATCCACACAATATCCCAGAATGAAACACTTTAGGAGCTGATTAATCATTGCAACAAAGGAAACTCAGTGGATTCCCAAAATGTTTAACAGTTTTGCACAGAAAGCATCAGAAAGCTGTTGGTCTTCTCAAGTGACTTTTAGCAACAAAATACAGATTAAACAAACCATTTGACAGTAACCTGTTGAGCAGAACAGTTTTCTTTCTCAGTTGCACTGACAAGAGATGAAAGCCTTTTTCATCCAGACATTTGGCAACATTGCATCTGGAAGAGCACAGGTGTAGTTAAGAATAAATTGGCTGAATTGGATATTTTGCATGACGGCTCACTGGAGTGATTTATTGCATGAACAGCCGTTAATGTTATTAGTTCCACCTGTGCGTGCGCTGTCATTTGATTGAATGTGTTAATCTAAAGTAATGATTAATGCATCTCAGCATAAGCTCAGAGGAAGGAAAAAGAGCTCAGACAGAGCGAAAATAAAGTGTGACTTCTGCTTTGTTTGTACACTCAACCTTACAGGTTTTTTTTAATTACAGGAGGAGGATTACTGCTTTGTTGGATGACTCAAGGTTAATTTTGACACAAATGAATGCTTTACAGATAGAAAAAGATTGAGTTAAAGTCATACGCGGCAGATATAAGATGCAAAGATACATTAATATGAGTGGTGTTATTTGTTTTTTCTGCTACATTTATCTCATTAGCCAAGCTATCTGAAAGCCAGCAGGCACTGTCCATGGTGCTGAAGAACAAAATATTTCTAAATAAAGGTGTCACGGTTTGCCTCCACCTACTGGTGGATTTTTCTGTTTTGTTTTGTGTTGCAGGTAGGCGCGGCAGACGGCACACCTGTTTGGTGTTTGACTAATTGAGGGAGAGAGGATTTAAGGAGCGGTGCGACTCAACTCCAGTGCCGGTTGATACTCTCACATGGGTATTTCTCTAGCCTCTGAACCTGCCTGCTTGTTTTGTGATTCCATGATTATAACCTTGAACTCCGTTCCAGTATCCTGTTCGTGCATCACCTACCTTGCCTGGAGTTGTTCCCACGTCTCGCCGCTCAACGATCCTCTGGACTCCTCTCTCCACGTCTGCCCGCCTGCCTCACGCTCTGAACTCCTCATCTGGTCGAACCTTCCTCAGTTCACCTCCGCTCTGGTTCCGATTCCTGACCGTAAGAACTCTCTCAGTCACAGACTCTTGTCCCCTGGTTCTCTGGTTCTGGTCTCGCTCACCTTCTGCTTATTTCCCCGTAGATTCCGGTCTCCTCCTGATCCTGATCTGAAGCAGCGCCTTTAGTTTAGTTTAGCCTATTCTGTTATTATTTTCTCATTGTAAATAAACCACCATATTTTTACTCACCGCCCCTCTGATGTGATTCTTCATGTCCTGGGTGAAAGCTCTTACCCACAGCATGACAGAATCAACCGGCCAGATAAACACCCCCATTGAAGAATCACTTCCCGCAGCCTTAGCAAACACATTAACTCAGCATGAAGGATCCATTCGTTCCGCCCTCGATCAGTTGTCACTTATTAACCAGCGTTTATTCCAGCTCGATTCCGCACTCCACCAGGTAAACGAGAGACTCACACCATCCTCTGCGGCTGTCCCTGTAGCTCCTCTCCCGGCTCCACTTCCTGTTCTGCATCACGGGGTCGGTTTCCGAGTTGCGCAATCCCCGCAACCAGAGACATTCGCCGGTGAACCTGAAAGATGCTGTGGTTTTTTATTACTTTGTGAATTAGCTTTCAACAGATCGCCTGAGACGTTTGTTAATGATGCAATTAAGATTTCTTATATTGTCAGTCTGTTACGTGGTAAAGCTCTACAGTGGGCCGAGGCCAGGAGTTGGCAACCAACCTTTCTGCAAGGTCCATTTGCAGCCTTCTTAGCTGAATTCAAACAGGTTTTTGATAAATCAGAATCCCCAGCCGAAATCGCCAAGCAAATCTGGAGTCTCCAGCAGGGCCGACAATCTGTAGTAGATTTTGCCATTGACTCTTGCCTCCCTGTCCTCACTAGATGAACCGTCACTTAGAGCTGCATTTTCTCACGCGCTTAATGATCGGATTAAGGCTCAATTAGCGTTTTGCCAGGAACCAGAGAACCTAGAGTCCCTAGTCCAGTTAGCGGCCAACATCGAGAGACGTTTAAAGGAGAGACTCAGGACACAGAACCTCAGACCAATCCCTGACCATGCTCCACCACGATCACATCACCCTCATCCCTCTCCGGCTCATCCCGAGGAACCGATGCAGATAGGTCGAGCGAATCTAACCCCTGAGGAGAAGGAGAGACGTCGCTCTTTGGGTCTCTGCATTTACTGTGGGCAGCCGGGGCACATGCTGCATTATTGTCCGGTTCAACCAAAAGCCAGGGCCCATCAGTAGAATCTGGGTTACTGATGGGTGGCCTTCCTGGAAATCAGAAATCCCGGTGCAGCTTAACATGTTCTGTTTCCTATAACCAACAGACTTTCTCAACCCAGGCGTTGGAGGACTCTGGATGTGAGAGGAGTGTTCTGGACATAACAGTGGCTCGACAGCTCAACATTCCCACCATTCCTCTCTCTACCCCCATCCGTGTTTCCTCATTGGATGGCTGTTCTCTCACAACCATAACTCATCGCACTGTTCCAGTTACTATGCAGATTTCGGGTAACCATCACGAGACTTTGAGCTTCTATATTTTTCCTTCACCTCAATCGCCAGTGGTTTTGGGTCATGAATGGTTAATTTTACACAACCCACAGATAGACTGGAAAACAGGGTTGGTTTCTGTATGGAGTTCCTTCTGCCTGTCTCAGTGTCTCCTTTCAGCTCCTCTTCCAGCCCAGATCACCAATAACACTCCTCCGGAACCACCTGACCTTACTGGGGTGCCCGCCGAATATCACAACCTACAACAAGTCTTCAGTAAGGATCGAGCCTCCTCTCTACCTCCTCATCGCCCGTATGATTGCAGTATTGACCTCATCCCGGATGCCATCTTACCTACCAGTAAGCTATACAGCCTGTCTAAACCCGAACAAGCCTGCATGTCTGATTACATTTCAGAATCCCTAACGTCCGGAATCATACGACCATCCACTTCTCCCCTGGGTGCTGGATTCTTTTTCGTTTCCAAGAAGGATGGCTCGCTCCGCCCCTGCATTGACTACCGTGGTTTGAATCTGATTACCGTTAAGAATAAGTATCCACTACCTCTCCTATCTTCCACGTTCGAACCCGTAAATGATGCTTCAATTTTTACAAAATTAGATCTGCGCAACGCCTACCATCTGGTCAGAATTCGTGAGGGTGACGAATGGAAGACGGCATTTAAGACACCGTTAGGTCACTTCGAATATCTAGTAATGCCATTTGGTCTCACCAACGCACCTGCTGTATTCCAGTCCCTAGTCAACTCAGTGTTGGGCGATTACATTAACCAGTTCGTGACAGTTTACCTGGACGACATCCTCATTTTTTCCAAAAACTTGACTGAACACCGCCAACATGTCCGCGTGGTGCTCCAGCGCCTCCTGGAGAACCGGCTGTATGTTAAGGCGGAGAAATGTGAATTTCACGTTCCTTCAGTGAAATTCTTAGGTTTTGTGCTGGAACATGGGAAACTAAAGACTGATCCTGATAAGATCGCTGCAGTCTCGTCCTGGCCCACTCCGACTACCCGTAAGCAGCTCCAGAGGTTCTTAGGTTTTGGCAACTTTTACCGCAGATTCATTCAAGACTACAGCCGGATAGCTCTTCCATTAACCCAGCTCACCTCCATCAAGAGACCATTTCTATGGACTGAGGAGGCTAACCAGGCTTTCCTTACTCTGAAGGAGAGATTCGCTCACGCACCCATCCTCACTCGCCCGGATCCATCAGCTCCATTCACCATGGAGGTTGACGCTTCTGACACCGGGGTTGGAGCTGTCCTGTCCCAAGTTTCACCCTCTGATCAGCTTCTCCATCCCTGCGCGTTCTATTCCCGGCGTCTTTCCCCAGCCGAGCAGAACTATGATGTTGGTGATCGGGAGTTGTTGGCGGTGAAGCTGGCTTTGGAGGAGTGGCGCCACTGGTTGGAAGGAGTAGAACACCCGATTACCATTTGGACAGATCATAAAAATCTATCATACCTGAAGGAGGCTAAAAGACTCAATCCCCATCAATCCCGTTGGTCCCTGTTTTTCTCCAGATTTAACTTTACCATCTCTTACAGACCCGGTTCAAAGAACGTTAAACCAGACGCCCTTTCTCGACAATATGCCTCCGACAGGGAAGTGGAGCCTTCCACCATCATCCCTGCCTCCTGCATAGTCGGCTCTATCACATGGGACATTACCAACAAGGTCCTGGAGGCTCAACGGCAGGAACCCGACCCAGGTACCGGTCCTCCTAATAAGATTTTCGTTCCCACCAGCACCCGGGGCCCACTCATTCACTGGGCCCACACCGCCAAGTTCTCCATTCATCCAGGTCTGGGAAGGACCATCTCTCTAATCAGAAGGACATTTTGGTGGCCCTCCATGTACCGGGATGTTAAGGAGTATATCAGTGCCTGTCAGGTATGTGCCAGACACAAGTCTAGTAACCAGCCTCCTCAGGGTCTTCTCCAACCTCTGCCTGTGCCCCATCGACCATGGTCTCATATTGCTCTGGACTTCGATACTGGTCTTTCTCTGTCTAAGGGCTTCACCGTCATACTCACCATTGTCGACCGCTTCTCAAAAGCCTGTCATCTGGTTCCCCTGAAATCCCTTCCTTCTTCTACCGAAACAGCCAACCTGCTCATCAAACACCTTTTCCGCCTGCATGGATTACCCAGCGAGATCCTCTCTGATCGTGGACCTCAGTTCGTTGCCCGAGTGTGGACTGACTTTGCTAAACACCTGGGAGCCAAGGTTAGTCTCACCTCTGGTTTTCACCCTCAGACTAACGGGCAGGTGGAGCGCATGAACCAGGAACTGGAGGCTATGCTGCGCTGCATCTGTTCCTCCAACCCTGCCGGATGGAGTGTGCAATTATCATGGGTGGAATATGCCCATAACTCCCACATGTCGTCATCCACAGGTCAGTCTCCCTTCGAGGTCTCGCTTGGGTACCAACCCCCTCTGTTTCCCTCCGACTCTGCTTCCTCCACCTCAGTTCCTCAGTTCCTGCGCCAAGCCCGCCGCACTTGGAATCAGACCCGTGCAGCGCTCCAGCGTACCGCGGAGCGCAATCGCCGGATTGCTGACCGCCACAGGCGGCCTGCACCCACCTACACTCCGGGTCAGTTGGTCTGGCTCTCTTCCCGGGACATCAAGGTTCGTGGATCTTGCCGTAAGTTCTCTCCCCGCTTCCTGGGTCCTTTCCCTGTGGCCGAAGTCCTGGGTCCGGTCTCTGTCCGCCTGGAGTTGCCCCCCTCCATGCGGGTGCATCCGGTCTTCCACGTCTCCCTCCTCAAGCCGGTGGTGTCCAGCCCTCTGTGCCCTCCTGACGCTCCTCCTCCGCCTGTCCGCCTCGCCGACGGGAGTGTCGGTTACCATGTGCGTCGCATCCTGGATGTTCGACCGCGGGGTCGCGGCCGGCAACTCCTGGTAGACTGGGAGGGCTACGGCCCCGAACACCGGCAGTGGGTGCCTGGGTCCTGGATCGATGATGTCTCCCTCATTGATGACTTCGAGGCCTCCCGTGCTTCCTCTCCTCCGCCTCCTCCTCCTCTGCTGGGCCGCCGGGTGGCGTCCCTTGAGGGGGGGGGGGGGGGGGGGGGCACTGTCACGGTTTGCCTCCACCTACTGGTGGATTTTTCTGTTTTGTTTTGTGTTGCAGGTAGGCGCGGCAGACGGCACACCTGTTGGGTGTTTGACTAATTGAGGGAGAGAGGATTTAAGGAGCGGTGCGACTCAACTCCAGTGCCGGTTGATACTCTCACATGGGTATTTCTCTAGCCTCTGAACCTGCCTGCTTGTTTTGTGATTCCATGATTATAACCTTGAACTCCGTTCCAGTATCCTGTTCGTGCATCACCTACCTTGCCTGGAGTTGTTCCCACGTCTCGCTGCTCAACGATCCTCTGGACTCCTCTCTCCACGTCTGCCCGCCTGCCTCACGCTCTGAACTCCTCATCTGGTCGAACCTTCCTCAGTTCACCTCCGCTCTGGTTCCGATTCCTGACCGTAAGAACTCTCTCAGTCACAGACTCTTGTCCCCTGGTTCTCTGGTTCTGGTCTCGCTCACCTTCTGCTTATTTCCCCGTAGATTCCGGTCTCCTCCTGATCCTGATCTGAAGCAGCGCCTTTAGTTTAGTTTTGCCTATTCTGTTATTATTTTCTCATTGTAAATAAATCACCATATTTTTACTCACCGTCCCTCTGATGTGATTCTT